TGCAGCTGTCTGTCCTGGGGCCGTGAACTTTCTGAGGGCCAGAGTCACCCCTGTGAGCCAAGCACACACATGGGGCCTCGGCAGCAGCCCTTGCTTTGTAGGAGAGAAGCCAAGACTCGGGAAGTCACAGCCTATTGGCCAGAGTCTGGTTAGGACTGTGGTGTCCTAGGTGGCAGCCCAGGTGGGCTCACCGCCTGGAGGGATCAGTATCCACCTGCCAAGCCACGGGGCACTGTGTATTTTCGCAGCTGTCCCCCTCCTCTGGCCTTCTCAGTCCTGAGGCTTTGGGCTGGACACAGGTCATGCACCTCTCCAAGCCTTCTCGGTCTTCTCATCTGCCAAATAGGGCTGTGGCGGGGAGGGCTGTGCCCATACTCTAAGACACTGGCCTGGTGCTGGGGTGGCCACAGAGCCCGGCTTGGTGCTGAGGATGCCAGCTCCATGGTCTTGGCACCTGGGCAAACAAGGAGCAGGTTGGACAGGGTCCATTCACAGAGGTGGCCCTGGCTGAGATGGGGCCTTCAAGCATGAGTTTGAGGAAGCCCCGTAGTATCTCTGCGTCCCTTGGCCGCTAGGGCCTGTGACAAACCCAGGACAGTCAGCTGTGGCTGCTCTCCCCCTTCCACCGCCCAGTTCAGCGGCTCCTTCCTTTGAATCCGCTCAGCACCATCTGCAGGACCATGTGGCCGAACCCTCCTTTGGCAGGGCCCCCTAAGCAGCACTTCCAAGATGCGCCAGGCGGCTTTTGAGAATCCGCACCAAGAAAACACGCTCTGTCTTCCCACTCGTGGCACCTGCTCGGGAGGCCGCGGCGGTGGCCAGGCTTTCTACATCAATTGCTTTCCAGCCGGAACCCGAGAGAGATGCCCCAGGAGCTAGACCAACTCAGATTCGAGCTTCAAAATGAATCAGTAATTATTTTGTTTCCTTGTCTTTTGTTTCCCACCCCTTTCTGTCTAAGCGGGGAGTCATGTTTGGGGGGTGGACACCACGATCCTCCTTTCCAGCTGATCCTTGCTCTGTAATTAAGGCCTCTCTGCGTGGCGACGTCCAGCATCGGTGAAGTCCAGCTGGTTTCCAGAAATACGAGGCCACAGCTGCCGTTCGCCCTGGACCTCAGAGTCAGACAAAACACACCCACACGCCTGGCAACCTGGGAGAACCCATCTGACGATCTGGGGCCACCCGCGGCACTTGGAACTTGTCAGGCCACGTGGTGCTGTGATCGGCTCCAGGGCGAGGACAGGGCTTCCAAGTCGGGGATCCTAGCACTCGGTGTGTGGCACACTCCGTCACTTGGTGTTTAAGCCCAGGAATAAGGACAGCCCAGGGCCCCACAACACCAACAGCGGCGTTTCTCAGACTGTGGGCCTGATCCACTGGCAGATGGCAAAATCGGCGTCATGGGCTGTGAACAACATTGTTTTTTAAATGAAATAGAGGGGAATCGAATAGAACACAGTAGAAAATATTAGAACACATCCTTTTTAATAAGGGAAAGCATCATTTCAGGAAGCTTTCATTTCAGATAATTGTGTGTGTATGTGGGGGGGGAGAGAGAGAGAGAGACAGAACGTAAATTGCATTTCTCGGAGCCATGGTCAGAATGTCTAAAAGTAACTTCTCCAAAGCCGTGTCATAGATGTGTCTTGGTTCCTCAAGTGCAGGTCACAATTAACCACTCAAGTTTTAGTGCCCATGGTGGCACATAGAAGCCGTGGTTTCTAAGCTGGTGCAGTTTGGGACTGTCAGACAGGAATGTGGGACATAGTCCCTCAGTGCCCTTTCCTGGGTGGGAGAGGAAGGCAGCAGGCCCAGGTGGACCCGGGAATGTGCTCGCCCCAGTGGATCTGCACCCAGGTGGAGCCCCCAGGGGCCGGGGGTCATGGCTGTGGCTGGCACCCAGCCCAGGGCAGTGGGAAGGAGGGAGCGGGGGCTGTGGGCTCAGAAGTCGGCTGTCGGCACGAGCCTGGTAAGGAGGCACGGCCCAGGTTTCAGACGCCTGCTCAGTGGCAAACATTGGCCATGGTGCCAGCATGGAGGGCAGGCCGTCTTAAGGCTGAGGGCAGGAAGTGGGGGTCAGCCCTCTGGGATTTGGCGACTACGTGCACTCAGGGGAAGGACTCGGTCCCCAGCAGTGGCAGTGATCTGCTCTCAGCAGCACCCAGGCTCGACTGTGCTGCCATTTGTCCCTTCAGCTGGGACCCAGGGGCATGAGCTCCCTGACCTGGAGCCCTCCTGCTGTGTCCCCCAGAGTCAGGTCAGGGCAGGGGTCTGGGCATGGCCCATGAATTATGACTGTGCTGCCATTTGTCCCTTCAGCTGGGACCCAGGGGCATGAGCTCCCTGACCTGGATCCCTCCTGCTGTGTCCCCCAGAGTCAGGTCAGGGCAGGGGTCTGGGCATGGCCCATGAATTACGGCATGGGATCACGGCATCCTAGGGGTGGGAGCGAGGGGGCGGATGGGCCGGCTGCCCTCGCAGCTCGGGTGGGAGGCAGAGCCTGGGGGAGGCTCGTGGAGGCTCAGGCTGGGACTGCCAGGGCTTCTACGCTCATTCTGGAAAGATCCATGTTGACTGCGAGCCTTTCCAGAGGGCCCCGCCTGCTGCCTTGGCTGGGCAGGCCCTTACTTCCCACACACCCCTCGCCCCCGGGCTCCCTGCTCGGGTTTGGGCTTTCCAGTTTCCAGAGGTCATGCCTGGCCCTTGCCCGGAAGCCTGGTCCCCAACTTCCTACTTCACAACAGTTGTGACAGGAAAGGAACCTGGTAACTGTGGTGGCGGGAATAAGACCCGCCCTGTGCATTTAGTCCTCGCTGGGGTCCAGGAGGCCGGGCTTGTCGTGAGCAAGCAAAGTGAGGATCAGAGGGGAGGAGTGACTGACCCAGGCCACGCAGTGGCCAAACACGGGCCAGGACCCTGCCCCTTCTCTGGGGCCACCTGGAGTCCCTCCCAGAAGCTGGCTCTGCTGGGCAGACCTGCTCTCTCCCCACCTTCGATCTGTACTCCTGCCTCCCCAGGTGGGAGGTCCCCTGAGCACAGTTCCTCTGCCCTGAGGGCAGGCCCTGACCTCATGCCCCCTGACTCAGTTTCCCCAGCTGGTGTCTGGCACAGAGATGCTCAATAGAACATTTGCAGGAATGAAAGAGGCTTGACTGGGAGGAGATGTGCAGGGCTGCAGTCTGGAGGGGAGAGCAGGCTGTGGCCTGGGGGTACTGAGGAAGAGGGGACGAGAAGCGCCCAGGCTAGGTCTGCATCTGTTTGTCCTCCAGCTGGCACTTGCTGGGCTCCTATTCGGTGCCAGGCCCCCTGAGCGTATCCTCAGTGGGTTGTCCTCGTCTATAAGAAAAGTGCCATATGGTTCTCCATTTTACAGGTGAGGAAACCGAGGCCCAGGGAGGTGGGGTAACGTGCCAGGGCGATCTGTGGCAGTACCGGGCTCCAGACCCAGACCCATGATCTCTGGGCTCCCCAGATGGCACAGAGCCTCCTTCAGGCCTGGGCCCTGGGCAGGCCTCCAGTGCGAGCCGCCATCCCGGGGGCTCCCAGCCCTGCGGGGGACCTCCAGCTCCCCTCCTCCCACGGAACAGGCTGGGGCTGCTGCTGGCGTCTCGGGGGAGTGCCGGAGCTTCTGCAGGATTAGGCCTCTCAAAGGGCGCGTGCTCAGGGTCCCAATCTGCAGCCGTCAATGCCTCGCCAGCGCCTCTCAGGCTCCCAGCCCTGCGGGGGACCTCCAGCTCCCCTCCTCCCACGGAACAGGCTGGGGCTGCTGCTGGCGTCTCGGGGGAGCGCCGGAGCTTCTGCAGGATTAGGCCTTTCAAAGGGCGCGTGCTCAGGGTCCCAATCTGCAGCCGTCAATGCCTCGCCAGCGCCTCTCAGATCTCCCTGAGCCCGATCGAATTTCCTTCCACCCAAGCTGCACACTCCGAGGACTTTCACGTTCGGGGCTGGGCCGGGTTGGAGGTCATGGAGCAAGAAAAGAGAAGTGTCATCCCCCCCCAGTGCCCTGATGTCAGAGCTGCCCAAACGCCCCAATGGCCGGCCGCATCCTGGTGGGCTGGGAGCACCGGGCAGATGCCCCGCCAGCAGGTGACCCCGGTCAGGCTGGTCGCTGGGCAGTTCCGAGCCACTGAAATCAGGCGGGTGCTGGCGCCGCGGCCAGATGTCTGCCACATCAGACGCTGACACGGCAGGGGCAGGCGCGGCTCGGGGAACTGTCGCGGCGAATGAGCAGGAAAAGGCTTGTTAGACAGAAAGACGGCCGCGGGGAGGGCGGGGACCGCGGGAACAGGATTGTCAGCGGATCTTGTAAATACTCGAGGCAGCTCTGGCTGGACCAGCGCGGTGCTTATTTCAAAGCAATTTAACCGATGGGATTCCCGACTCCCAAATCAAGAATGTTATTAAAATGAAGAACAGAGTTGGGGCGGCCGTCGTTGCAGCCAAGTCACACTGCAGCCGGCTGTGGATTCCTTGTCCTCCCAGACCAGGGGCTTGCACAGCGGTGCCCCAGCCCCACCCGTCCCTGCCAGGCTTCTGTCGGGGAGGGAGCTTGCTGAGACGGGGCTCGGGCTGTTCCTGGTCTTCAACGCTCGAGAACAGGTTTTTGTCCAGTTCTCTTAGGACATGGAAAAAGGTATCAGGACCTCACCCAGTGGTGAGGAAACTGAGGCCCCGAGCAAGGATGGGACCAGCTGAGCCTCCAAAGTGAGGCGGCAGAGGTGAGCCTGAAAGCTGGTTTCCTCCAGCCCACCCAGTCCACCAAGATTCCGGCTGGAGGGGCCATGTCACAGGGCTGTGGCTGGTCAATCAATCCACCTCGGGCTGCCACGAGGCTCCTGAGCCCTGCTCTGTTGAGGAAAATAGGAGGCCCTGCCCTCCCTGAGTGGCAGGGCAGGAGCAGAGTGTGGGGCGCCTATGGGGCAGGGTGGGCACGCGTGGGGGGCCGGGGGTCCTGGGGTGGTTGGCACCAAGGCTCCACCCTCACCTTGCCTTTGCAGGTGTTTCAGCGCCGGGAGGACGGCTCGGTGAACTTCTTCCGGGGCTGGGACGCGTACCGGGACGGCTTCGGCAAGCTCACGGGGGAGCACTGGCTAGGTGAGCACCACAGACCCACCCCTGTGCATTGCAGACACTGCTGGGCCCCGGTCCCCCCCCCCCCAAGGGGGG